GCTGACAGAAGAACTTGCAGTGCCGTTGTGCAATCTGTTTGATGGGTCTTACACACAAGGACGTTTACCACGGCAATGGAAGGATGCTGTCATTGTGTCACTACCGAAAGGCGGAGACAAAATTGACAATGGAGGCTGTTGATCAGTCAGTCTTACTAGAGTTGTGGGTAAAGTAACGAAAAGAGTGATGAATATATGGTTTCGGGAAAATCTCATGTTTCATGGTCACCTGTTCCACAACCAACACAGGTTTCGTCCGGGTCACTTATTTCTGTCGAACCTGCTCCTAGTCAGTGAATACTGGATTAAGGATAAGGCAAAAGGATACCAAACGAACATTCTCGTGGATTTCAGTAAGGCCTTCGTAAAAGTGTAATATTACCGTCTTCTGCAAATGCTGTTTAGCATTGGTGTAGGTGTGACCATGCTGAATTGGCTACAAGACTTCTTCGCCGACAGGAAATTTTGTGTTTGTGTTGCCAGATTGCTGTCTGCGTGGTATCCCGCAGGCAGTGGGGTCCCCCAAAGTTCTGTTTTTGATCCACTCGTCTTCCTGGTCTATTTCAATGACTTGCCCGGTCAGTTGCACAGCCCATAATTCCTGTATGAGATTGACATCAAAATCTGGGGTACAAACAATGGTTCAAAGGGTCGGAGTATTCTAAAAGAAGATCCGAACACCCTGGCTTACTGAACAGACACCTGGGCCCTTCCAGTAAGCACCTCTAAGTGTAATTACATGCACATGCGGCGTGCTGATTTGCAGGTGGTTTACAGCTTCCAAGGAACCACATTGCGTGAAACATTGTGCGAAAGAGACCCGACAGTTATGGTGACGTCATCATTGAAGACCAGAGAGAACACCGACGGGGTCTATGCCAACGCGTGGAGAATTCTGAAATTCATTCCGAGATCTTTCAGTTGGCTTACAATGGACACCTTTGGACTGCTGTATGCTTCCCACGTTAGACCGAGATTTCAGTATGGTAGCGCTGCGACACCCCTGCACGGCCGGTGAACGGACGAATTTGGAGTGTGTACAGTGTGGCGCCACTCGACTAGTTTTTGGACTACGTGGGACCGGCTAGGAAGGTCGTCCACAGGCTACTGATCTGTTCCCAGTTGCTTATCGGCGCTTCAGGAGAGATCGGATCTGTTTGAGGAAAATCCTGAGGTGCGATATGGACCCGAAGTAGCGACAGCATTTTCCAAGACGGACAAAGGAACACCCACAGGGAAGCCCTCTCATGCTGATTAAAATTCAGTCGGCTGGTCTTCAGTTAGTCCACTGACTGTCACAGAGATCAAAAACGATCTGAAATTCCTTACCAGCGACTGTGGTGGAGGAGACGCCAGACACTGCTTCAAGCGGCGTCGGAGGGTCTAACACAAGTTTCAGAATTGTTTATTTCCTAATAATATTTGAAAACCGGAATTTGAACGTATCTTAAGAATAGACCAAGCGGAAATTAGTTAAGACTCTTGTGTGACAGTTGACAAGGGAAAAGTTCAACTTGGACTCGAACAGAACTCAAGAAGGTTATCCATATGGTCAACTGGCACAACACTAACCAAAACATTTACATATATATATATATATATATATTTGTTTGTTCATCCAAGATTGAGTTGAAAACTGAAGATTGTAGACAAAAAATAGCTAATCTGTATTTAATCACATTTTGGGTAACATTTATTATTTGGGACTTGAAATCACCGGAATCCATGGTAACACAATCGTCCCCTTGGAGTTTTTTAAGAATTCCATGAAAGTTCAATTAGGGTCCTAAAGCACTCAAACAGTGCGTCTTATGGGAACCCAGTCTATATAAATTCTATATATTTTCGTTGAATATGATCTCAACAATTCAATCTTTATTCTGTCCTTTTATCCAAATGGACAGACAAAAGACAGCAGCCGAAACCAGTGCATGGTTGCAAAAGCTAGAACTGAACTGAAAAAGTGACTGTAACACAACTTGGTTGCGAGGATACTAATCAAGCCAGGTCAGGTCCGTTTGATGGACACAGAGGTCGCGAGCCAATTCGTTCAGTTTCTTGCACTGATGGGATCCGTGAATCCCCTGATACTGCGGCAACAAGAAAGAAAACCTGTTCTCCAATGAAGCAAGCAGCACACAACCATCTAATCATATGTTCAGTTTGCTTCTATCTAACGTTCTACAGTGTTGATGAATACTTCTAGCAATAACTGGAATCGAAATGACATGTAAACTTCTTCGTGGATAAATGCTTTCCTATATTTCCTATCAAGAGCGGACCGCTAGCCTTTTACATTGACATCTTTTATTCTATGGTAATCACAAATACCCTCGATGCACAGATTCAATTTCAGTCAGTGCTATGATTGCATCACTTAAAGTAGATACAAAAAGGTCCTGTGACAAAGTGAATATTATACTATAAATATAAAAATCAGTGATCAAGATCCGCCACCATTGGTTCATCTTTATTCACTGGAATTTTCTCCTTTTGGATATCACAAGGATGGTGTTTATCTTGCGATCCTAAAACCCATCATACGATTAGTTCGTGAATCCCGGAGTTACTTTCTTCTGGAGACTTGAAAATAAACTCCTACCGACAACCAATAAAATATATCTTTTTTATAAACCAAATACTCTTGGGTAAAAATCCAGTCCTTTTGGTTTTAGATTGCAAATTTTGTATGCAAAATCGCATCTTAAAGGAAGACGTTCATTCAAAATATTTCGTTGGTATGGTCAGATCCGTTCGCCAAATTTGCCGGAAATTTCTGTATTCATCAAATATATTAGGAAGGAACAGGAAAATTGGACTATTCCACTGAAGAAGTTCTACTCTTATAGCTTTGGGCTTTCAAAAATTATTCTGAATATTTTTTATCCTATCGAAATGCTGAATTGTCATTTATGATTTGAAACTGAATTCAGTCAGAGTAATGAAGGAGGTCACTGTCGCTGCTTTTACACGACATCTGGACAAGTAACTCCACGGATTATGGAGGAAACACCACACGTAATCTTGTTGGCAAAAGCCGTTAGT